TCTTTCTTTCTTTCTTTCTTTCTTTCTTTCTTTCCTTCCTTCCTTCCTTCCTTCCTTCCTTCCTTCCTTCCTTCCTTCCTTCCTTCTTTCTTTCTCTTTTTTGCAGTACCAGGGATTGAACTCAGGACCTTGCACTTGTCAGGCAAGCACTTACTCTACTGAGCTATCTCCCTGGCCCCCTAGCCCGCAGCTTTCAAAAGCCACTGGGAAGGGCCCTGGAGGTAGGTCAGTGGCAAAGCATTTGGCCACATGAACATGGCCCTGGTGCTCTACCCTAGCACCAGGACAGACCCAAAGTCCCCCAAACCCACAACATTGGTAACATAATTTAATTTACCCAGCATACAGCAACTAAAATTAAGATCTGTTATTTCAAGCAAATTACAGGCTCTACTGCTTCCAATGCTAGTTCACTCTGGTCAGATGAAAATGTGGCTGACTTCAGGGAAAACTGGGGGCAAGTGGCCACTGGCTCACCAGGAGGAAAGAGGTGGCACCTCTGAATGAGCTCCAGGTCACTGCTGCCTGGCTCCTCCAATGTGAACCACTGCTAACCAGGGTGGAGAATTTGATGACAATGTTCTCTTTTCAATCATCTTCAATGTTTCATGGGGGTTATGTGAGTATGGCAGGGATTGAACTCAGGATCTCTCACTTGCCAGGCAGGCACCGAGCTACATCTCCAGCCCTCATTTTTTTTTTTTTAATATTTATAGCAAAGACAGACATTTCTTACATGGTAACACATTCATTTAATATGCAAAATATAATAGCAAAGGTATCAGCCTATTAAAGCTACAAATTAACTTTATGTCTATTTTATGCAAGTTCAGACAGAAAACAGGAGGTGCTAGGAGAGACACACCTGCAAGCTACCTGGGAAACCCAAGTGTCCCCAAACTACTGACTTTTTCACTTTGATGCTCTAATGTCAAGCTGCGGAGGAGCTAGCACAAGACATCCTCGTGCTTTTACAACTAAGCCTGCAGTGCTGGGAATGAGGCCGTTCAGGAGAAACTCCTTATTAATAGACTAGTATGATTGTGAAAGGTGACAAGGACAGCTACCAGTATTTAGAGGATTCAAACATCTGGTCTTGGGGGCGTTTGAGGGCACACTGCACTTGTGTTAAGACATGGAACTGCTAACACAAGTGCAGCAGTGTGTATCTGGCTACTGCCATAGGAGGGCCAACATGGAGTGCAGGTTCTCTGTAGCTACCCTCCTTGCTCCTGACCCCAAGAGCTTCCCATAGGCAGCACCCTCTTTTAAGGCATAAAGTGGTGGATGTAACTTAAAATGACCCAGATGAGGATGAAGTAAAAATAACAAGCAGGATTCTTTCTCAGGCCCCCAGAGGCAGCGACTAGTGGCAGATGGTGTATGTTTCTAGGCCTTTTTTTAATGGGCACAATTCTAAAATCACCTAAGTTGCAGTTGCTTTCTTGCTCTTAGCTTAAAATCAACTCAATATTTTTCTAGCTAAAAGACTATAAATTATAATATAGGAAAACACCCTAATTAAAGTTTTTACAATTAAAATAAATGTATCTCTGCTGTAAATCTGCAGATCCAGAGATTAACAATTAGGGACCAGGTGTAGTGGTATACACCTATAATCTCAGCACTTGGGAGGCTGAGGTGGGAGGATTGTTGAGTTTGAGACCAGCCTGGGTTGCACAATGAGCTCAAGGCCAGCCTGAGCTGTAGTGAGACGTCTCAAAAAAGACAAAAGGAAAAGAAAAAAAAAAGAAAGGAAATAGCTTTGAAAATCATTTAATTAAACAGAAATTTCTCAGGTATCTGTTCCTATTTCAGGTAATACACATGCACTCTCATTCAGAAAGCCATCTACAAAGCATAGGAGATACCGTATGGCAAGGTTGAGCTGTCACTCTGTTAAGACATCTAACTGCTAACATGATACCTCCTCAGAGTACTTCACTACATTTATAAGTTTGTTAGGTGTGTGTGTATGTATTTGGGACAGGGTCTCACTATGCAGTTCAGGCTGGCCTTGACCTTGCAGCAATCCTTCTGAGATGAGTACTGGGACTATAGGCGTGCGGCACCATACCTGGCTCTCATAGGCTTTTTAAGGAAATAATATTTTTGTGGTACTGGGGATGAGACTCAGGCCCTCATAAAGCAAGCATTTTGACACGAACTACATCCTCAGCTCAAGAGCCTTCTTTTAAAAAAATTTTTTTTAGTTTACTAGTACATGTGTGTAGTGTATGTTTTCATTCCTTGTGCAAGTTGGCACACATATACAACATCCCAATTCCTTTTATTGCCTGTTCTCCTTTCTCCTCCCCATCTTCTGATCCCGTCCTTCCTTTGGTACATATCTCTAGTAGTGTTTATATGTTTACATTCCTTGTGTAGAACTGGTACCTGTACATAACATATCCTGATTCTTTTTGTTCATCCCATCCCACCTGCACCTCTCTGTCTCTTCCACCTCTTGATCTACTTCCCCTTACCTCCCTACTTTTGTATACAAGGTTTTTTTTTTTTTTAAATGTATTTGGTTGTTACAGGGTCTCACTACACAGCTTAGACTTGTGGTGATCCTCCTGCTTTCAGCCTCTCCAGTGCTGGGATTACAGGTGTGCTCCATTACACCTGGACTCAGTCCCTGAGCTTGCCTAAGCAGGTGCTTTAGTCCACTGAGCTATCTTGCTGGCCCCACTTCCCTACTTTCCATTATCCATTTTTTAATTTTGCATTTTACATGTAAGAGAAACCATCTTTGATTGAAACTTGTGCGTCTAATTCGTTCTGCTTAACATTATGGTATCAGTCCACTTTCCTACAAATGACTCAAATTTATACTGATGGCAGAGTAGTGCTCTATTGTGCATCCTGAAACTCCCTCTCTCCACTTTGAACCTGGAATCGAAATCCAACCTCACCCTTGCCAGGCAGGCACTGCCACTGAAGCCATATCCTCGGCCTCCTCACGTGTAAATACATTTTCTGTATTATCTGCTGATGGACACGCAGGCTGATCCTAAGGTTTGGTCATTAGGGACTGTGCTGCTGTAAACATGGGCAGAGTGCTTTAATCCTGATATTATGTGTAACTACATGCCAACAGTCCAATAGTATAAAATCTTTTAAAAAGAAATCTTATAAGGAGTTAGGGAGATAGTTCAGCTGCATAAGCAGGTGCCTGGCAAGCAGAAGGTCCCGAGTTTGATCCCCACTACCCCAGATGGCCAGCCCTCACCATGCCTGCTACTGAAACTGGGTGTGGTGGTGCATCCCTGTAATCCCAGTGCTGGGGAGGCTGAGACAGGAAGATCACTAAGAGTCTGAACTGCGTAGCAAGACCCTGTATCTTAAAAAAAAAAAAAAAATCTTTTAAGAAAATGGGTCTTGGGGCTGGGGAGATGGCTCAGTAGGATAAGCGCTTGACTGGCAAACATAAGGATCTGAGTTCAATCCCCGGTTCCCCCCCCCCAAAAAAAAAAGAAAAAGAAAAAGAAAATGGGTATACACCACATTAGAAATAGCAAGTATGCCACAGGTGGTTGCTTATACCTATAATACCATCCTGGGAGGCTGAGGCAGGAGGAGCACAAGTTTAAACCCCAGCCTGGGCAACTCAAGAGACTTACTGAGATCCTGTCTCAAAATAAAAAATAAAAAGGCTTGGTCTGTAGCTCAATGTAAAAGCCTTGGGTTCAATGCCCAGTACCAGGCAAGCCAGAGGCTCCCTCCCATATCTGCATTTACTTTGAAAAGCACATCTGTACATTCATACCCAACACACACAAAACATGCAGCAGGCCAAACAGTGTGGAATGTGCTTATGCAAATGTGCAGGTGAGGCGGTTCTCCATTTTATAACTCCTGCTTCCTCTCCAACAAGGAGGGGGGAGGGCTCAAGTGTGGTCTCTGTGCTGTGCCACAGCTAGGACACTGACACTTACCAACACCTACAACTCAGTCCCACACGGGGACAGCTCTACACAAGCATGAGCACAATCCTTTAAGCAATATTGTAGACTTGCAAAAATAGGGCTTTTCAGAATTTCATTCTGCCTTTCAGAGCTCAGCGTGGAGAATCCCTGCCTGCCCTGCAGCCCATCTGTAAGAATCCAGAGGAGCTAGTTCTAGGGGCTTCCTGATCAGCTAGAACTCTAAAGTTCTTTTTTTTTTTTTTTCTTTTTTTCCCCCAAGTTCTTATATCAGAGACAAAGGTCAAGGCACAGAGTGACTTTCCAATCAAGATCAGTAATTACAGCTTTCTTTTCTTTTTGGTGGAACCGGGGTTTTGAACTCACGTCCTTGTGCTTGCCAGGCAAGCGCTTATTCTACTGAGCCATTTCCCCAGCCCCAGTAGTTACAGCTTTCCAAGGAAGCTCAGCTTTGCCTTTTTCCCCCCTCCTCCCCTTTCTTTGCAGTACTGGGGATTGAACCTGAGCTGCAGTACATCCCCAGCCCCTTTATTATGAGACAAGGTCTTGCTAAATCATTCAACTGCCCAGGCTGGGCTCTAATTTGGGATGAATTTCCTCTCTTTTTCCTTTGTTTTTACTAGTGCAATTTTACAGTACAAAATTAATTATATTCCTTATGAGAGTTGATACATGTACATAACACATATTAATTCAATTTCTAAAAAATTCCATTCCTCTATTTTCTATCTTTTCTTAACAGCTTGACTGAGAATATCTATGTCACCTGGAACAATGTGAAGAAAAAGAACTTTAAGCCACAGGCATTTCATTTAAGGTAATAATTATAGTCTGATGTTCTGATAAATTCCCTCTTGGTCTGAAAATATGAAAAATAAAGAAACAAGTTGATTTTGTTACCACTGGATCTAGTGTAGCAGCCAATAAATCATGGCTCTCAGCCTAAACCTGAGTACGTGTGTGTGTGTGTGTGTGTGTGTGTGTGTGTGTGTGTGTACTGGGTACTGAATTAAGGCCCTGACATTGAGCTATACTCCAGACTTTGCTTAGCCTCAGTAAGACTTTATCTCAAAATGTAAAAGAAAAAAGGGCTACAAGATGTAGTGCAGTGCAAAGGCCCTGGGTTCAATTTTTAGGACAAAAATAATCACAAGCAAAACCAATAAAACTAAACTAGGTACAGTGACATATACCTGTACCCAGTTACTCTGGAGGAGGACAAGTTCAAACCCAGCTTGGACAATTTAGTGAGACCCTGTCTCAAAGAACATGTGTGTGGAGTGTGGGTGGGGATATGTGTCAGTGTGAAGGCCCTACCTTCAATCCCCAGGCCTCCAGAAAAAATAAACGAGTGAATGAATGAACGAATGAATGAATGAGGGAGGGAGGGAGTGAAGGAGGGAGAAAAGAGTGAAGAAAAGAAAATGTATATATATGGACCAGGGATACAGGATAGCGGCACAGTCCTGCCTGGCAAGTACAAGGTCCTGAGGTTTGATTCCCGACACCATAAAAAGAAAATGACAAGTGTGATCTGATCCACAGTTCTTCTTCCTCTCAGGAATGAACCACTGTCCAATGCCTCCCCAATACAGTGAAAAGCCCATAGACCCTCTTGATGCAAATACTGAGACCAAAAGGCCCTAAGAATCTAATGCTGGGCTGGTGAGATGGCTCAGTGGTCTAAAGCACCTACTTAGAAGAAGCTAAGCTAAGCAAAGCACAGGGACCGCGGTTCAATCCCCCAGCACCACATGCCAGCCAGCCCCCGCCCCCTGGTGGGCTGAGCTGGTGACACACACACAAAATAAATAAATAAATAAATAAATAAATAAATAAATAAATAAAAGAATCTAATGCTGTGCTTACTGCCTATTACAAGAAGTCTGTAAGAAACTCACACTGAGCTTCAGGGTTACTGCCACTTGGCCTGCTTCTGAGTGACTACAAGTCAATCCTCCAATTTTAAGCTACAGAGAATTCAGGTGAGGACTTTATCAACCCACACAGGAGATCCAGGAGTCATGCACATACGACTTCAAAGATTTAATGCTTTTGCCTTTTTTTTTTTTTTTTTAAGACAGGACCTCACCATGCAGTTCAAGTTGGCCTTAAATTCATTATGTAGCCCAAGTTGGCCTCAAACTCCAGGTGATCCTCTTGCATTGGCCCCCCAGTGCCAGGATTACAAGTGTGCACCACCACACTTGGCTTGCTTTTGTGTTTTACTATTAGGAATTTGTGCCTGACTTATCAACTAAAAAAATATTCAAGCTGAGCATGGTGGCACATACTTATGCATGTGGAAGACTGAGGCAGGAAGACCACTGCCAAGTTTGAGGTCAGCGTGGGTTATACAGTGAGTTTAAGGCCAGCCTGAACTAAATGAAATGAAACCTTGTCTCAAAAAGACCAAAACAAACAAACAAAATTTTTTTTTTCTTTTTCTTTTGGCAGAACTGGGGATTGAATTCAGGCCCTTGCACTTGCCAGGCAAGTACTTATTCTACTGAGCCATCTCCCTAGCCCCTCAAAAATTTTTTTCACTAAGCCATTATATGCAAAAGCAAGGTACAAGTTTTAATGGAATACACACAAAAGACACAAATTCTCCACGAAACTTAAGATCTTTTAAGGGGAGATCAAATACAAATACTTAAAAAGATATAAGACAGAACACATTCCAAACAAAACAGGACAAATAGTCATACTTTAGTAGAGTAGTCCTGACCTTGTTAATCAACCAAAGAAACATTTACCCAATTATATCTGTTATAAGGTGCCTGGTTCCTCTTGGAGTAAAGCTTCCTTGAGCATCTCCCAGTTTCCCTCTATTACCCCGCAGGCCAACTCAAGCTTCTATCTCCAGGGTAGGAAGACTTCGCAGACACAATCTCAGAGAGCTTCCCTCTGAGTCACCTGGGAATTTTACTAGGCCGCAAGAGCGTCATTCCCCATCACTTTCACATGGTCCTGCCATATAATAAGTACTCTGGAAAAGTTCACTGACCAGGGCATGAACTCAACTGACAGTTTTACAGGGAGGCTCCTATGTCAGTTGTTACATTTTACAGAAGACAATCATTACAGGTTTGGGGTTTAGTTTCTAAGTAGTGTTGGGGACCCACATCTACTTGCTATCTACCAGTGGTTATCCCTGGATGAGCTCATGTACTACTCGACAGTTTTCTATACTGTGAGCTTTTCATTATTTTACATTAATAAAATACTGACAATGAAATACAAAATACTAGAAGGACACAAAATATTGAATTAGGTGACCCTGAAACCCTCTCTGGCTCAATGACATCTGTGCACAATTACAGACATTCTCCAAATTTGGCATACGGAAAAATATGAAGTACAACGTGGTCCACTCCAGCAGCTGGAGAACAAGATGTGACAGGTCTTGGGACAGTGATAATGAGGAGAGGGGACAGTGGACGGCTATCCCTGGTAGGGTCTGTCACCTTTCAAAGCTTCTGCTTGGTGTTAAACCAAGCAAAGAGACATGGTCCTATTGAAATTCTATTCTCAGTGTTGAAAGCCTGTGCTCTCTTAACATACGAGGCCTACAAACGACTGCTTCTGAGGCAAGAGCAGGGCCAATGAAAGGGGGTGACTGAGAGGGGAGCTCAGCAGTCTGTAAGAGTCCCCAGGTCCCACTAGGCCACATTAACAGTATTAAAGCAGGGCTGGGGTCCAAAGGTAACTAAAAATGCTCACTGCTCTCAGCAGTGTAGAGAACATTATTTCCTTTCTGAAGTACAAACACTTAGGTGAAAGAATAAACATATTGAGAACATACGCCAACCATTATGCTGAGAATGTAGAAATTAAAGAAGCTGTCCTGATATCCCGAGTGATCATCAAACACAGCAACACGAAACTATGTAGTAACCTACTCTAAACCTTTTTTTGTTTTTTTGCCTTACAGGGTTTCGCTATGCAGTTCAGAAGGAGTTTTTTTTTTTTGGGGGGGCACTCAAGATGCCTTCAGGGAAGGCCTGGTTTGGCTTGAGGAAAAGGGGATTGAACCACAGCATCCTGAGCCTGACTGCTTTGTTTCAGCAGGCACTTAAACACCTGCTATGCAGTTCAGGCTGGCCTTGGACTCACTTTGTAACCCTGGCAGGCCTTGAACTCACAGTGATCCTCTTGCCTTAGCCTTCCAACTGCTGGGATTACAGGCGTGCACCACCACGCCTGGCTTTCCTTTTCCAACTTCAAAAAAGAAAAAAAGAATTTTCAAACATACCTAGTCCCAACAGTTCCACAGGAATTAAATTATGGTCTTGCAAAAATAGTTTTATTTTTGAAGATCACTGATGATTATTAATCTAAAATGAATATCATTACTATATCATTATGCACTACATAGTTCCCATTACAAAAATCAACACACTGGGTTAATTCCCTGGAAAGAGAATAAACACCACAGCACCCACCCCAGGGTCTCAACTTAAAACCAGCGGATGAAGCAAGCAGATGGGCTCTCCTGGGAAAGCAGCAGGGTCCGACTTACGGGTGTGGTTTCATCTCTATGTAGTTCTTGGGGATGAAGCCGTCCTTCCCATTGAGCTCTGCCTTGTACCAATTCTGATCACATTCTTCATTCAAAACCTGGGAAGAAATCAGACAAAAACCAATCACTTCTCTTCTCCTCTAAGGTTGCCACAAGGCAATCTGTGCTGACTTAGGTCTTATTTCAGGTACTATCAATTACATAGAGTTAAGACTACATGATTTCAGACAATGAGCAAATGGTAAACTCTAAAAATTAAAACACAAACTGTCACTGGAAATCAAACATCTTTTTTTTTTTAAATTTTATTTGTGTGTGTGTGTGTGTGTGTGT